TCCAAAGTGAAATGCCGAGGGAGGGTGGCGTTTGTGTGCAGACTGCCCGATTTGACGTAATTACAACCGTCTGGTCCTCAGGACGGGTTCTGCAAGATTAGAAGGATGCCCTGGTGGCCCGTACTGATTGCACTTACCGGGGTATCACGCTCCTCAGTGTGCCGGAAAAGGTCCTGGAAAGAATGATTCAACATTGCCCTTGCTAGGCAAGCTGAGGAGAAGCTTGCGGAGCTCCAATATTGTTTCAGACCGGGGTGGTCCTGCACGGACGCCATTTTCTGTGTCTGTATGCTACAGTATAGGTGTTGAGAATTTCAACAGGACCTACAATCTTTACTTTATTGACCTTGTCAAGGCCCATGATACCATCAATAGGCCAGGGTTCTGGTTTATTCTTCGTGCTTTTTGAGTCCGAGACAATCTGTTCGCAATCATTAAGGACCTTCATGACGGTGGGCAGGTCCAGGTAAGGTTGCGTGGCTGGGTGTCGTGGGGGCCCTTGTGTGTTCGCCTTGAGGTGCGACAGGAATGTCGTCTCGCGCCCACGCATGTCAACCTCGTCTTTTGGCCATGGAGTCCAATAAGTTTTCCATGGACGTACCGGTGAATTCCATCTGGTGTAGATTCAATGGGAGGCTGATCGATGCCCGTGTGCGGTCGAGAGATGGCTCCCTATTGGTCAACCATATTTTGTTTGCGGATGATCTGGTGATTTCTGCCTACCCTGAGATGTTACAGATCACACTGCTGAATCCGGAGCATGCTACTAAGAGATGGGGCCTTACTATCAGCCCCACCTGCCTGGGTTGGGTATTTTAATTCATCGAATGCTCCCCTTCCTCAACTCTCCATGAGTGACGGGGCAGTGGTGAAGAGAGTGGAAAGATTTCCATACGACCCATCCTGGGTTTAACCAGACTGGACTGTGTAAGTAGTCCACAGGTCCTTGAAAGATGTGGGCACTGCCCCATCAGTGAGCTACTCTGGCAAGCGAGGCTGCATTGGCATGGAGCCCGCATGCCCAGCCACCGCCCAAGCAGATTCTGTTCGGTCGCATCGAGGGGGCTCAGCGGGCGTCGCATGGGCTAGAGAAGAGATGGAGTGATGTGTTACAGAAGGATGTGGAACCGATTGGACTTGCCGATGACTGGTACTAGCGGTGTCAAGATCGGCCTATGTGGGGTAGGTTCGTGAAGGACGCTGCTGGGCAGTTGGAGGCGGTCGCACTCCAACAACAAAGGAGGGCGGAGGAGCGACGCTCACAACAACGAACGAAGCGCCGGGCGGATAAAGCACAGCAGGTTGGCACAGTAGGGGACACAGGTGGTGCATCAGCCAGTCGTCTCAGTCATCTTAGTCAGTCGACCCGTGGCACCTGGGTCTGGTCCGTGACCTCCTGCCAGCGGGCCTTTGACAATTCACGTGGCCTCAACGTGCACCTAGCCTGGCACAAATGCCGTTATGTCATCGCCACGTCGTGGTGAGCGGCGGCTGTTGTTGAGTTAATCACACGTGTGTGCGTGTGAGTTAATGACGTATGTGTGAGTGTGAGTTAATCACACGTGTGTGCGTTATTCACACGTGTGTGAGTGTGAGGTGATCACACGTGTGTGAGTGTGAGATAATCACACGTGTGTGAGTGTCAGTTGATCACACGTGTGTGAGCGTGAGTTGATCACACGTGTGTGAGTGTCAGTTGATCACACGTGTGTGAGTGTCAGTTGATCACGCGTGTGTGAGTTGATCACACGTGTGTGAGCGTGAGTTGATCACACGTGTGTGAGTGTGAGTTAATCACACGTGTGTGAGTGTGAGTTAATCACACGTGTGTGCGTGTGAGTTATTCACACGTGTATGAGTGTGAGTTAATCACACGTGTGTGAGTGTGAGTTAATCACACGTGTGTGAGTGTGAGTTGATCACACGTGTGTGTCAGTTGATCACACGTGTGTGTGAGTTGATCACACGTGTGTGAGTGTGAGTTAATCACACGTGTGTGTGAGTTGATCACACGTGTGTGAGTGTGAGTTAATCACACGTGTGTGAGTGTGAGTTAATCACACGTGTGTGAGTGTGAGGTGATCACACGTGTGTGAGTGTCAGTTGATCACACGTGTGTGAGTGTGAGTTGGTCACACGTGTGTGAGCGTGAGTTGATCACACGTGTGTGAGCGTGAGTTGATCACACGTGTGTGAGTGTGAGTTGATCACACGTGTGTGAGTTGATCACACGTGTGTGAGTGTGAGTTAATCACACGTGTGTGAGTGTGAGTTGATCACACGTGTGTGAGTGTGCGTTAATCACACGTGAGTGTGAGGTGATCACACGTGTGTGAGTGTGAGTTAATCACACGTGTGTGACTGTGAGTTAATCACACGTGTGTGAGCGTGAGTTAATCACACGTGTGTGAGTGTGAGTTAATCACACGTGTGGGAGTGTGAGTTAATCACACGTGTGTGACTGTGAGTTAATCACACGTGTGTGAGTGTGAGTTAATCACACGTGTGTGAGTGTGAGGTGATCACACGTGTGTGAGTGTGAGTTAATCACACGTGTGTGAGTGTGAGTTGATCACACGTGTGTGAGTGTGAGTTAATCACACGTGTGTGAGTGTGAGCTAATCACACGTGTGTGACTGTGAGTTAATCACACGTGTGTGAGTGTGAGTTAATCACACGTGTGTGAGTGTGAGTTAATCACACGTGAGTGAGTGTGAGTTGATCACACGTGTGTGAGTGTGAGTTAATCACACGTGAGTGAGTGTGAGTTAATCACACGTGTGTGAGTGTGAGTTAATCACACGTGTGTGAGTGTGAGTTAATCACACGTGTGTGTGAGTTAATCACACGTGTGTGAGTGTGAGTTAATCACACGTGAGTGAGTGTGAGTTAATCACACGTGAGTGAGTGTGAGTTAATCACACGTGTGTGAGTGTGAGTTAATCACACGTGAGTGAGTGTGAGTTAATCACACGTGTGTGAGTGTGAGTTAATCACACGTGAGTGAGTGTGAGTTAATCACACGTGAGTGAGTGTGAGTTAATCACACGTGTGTGAGTGTGAGTTAATCACACGTGAGTGAGTGTGAGTTAATCACACGTGTGTGAGTGTGAGTTAATCACACGTGAGTGAGTGTGAGTTAATCACACGTGTGTGAGTGTGAGTTAATCACACGTGTGTGTGCACGCTGCGCTACGAACCCGGCGACTCGAGTTCAATTCCCGCTCAAGGCCACCACAAGTGACGGTTATCTGAATCGGTCCTGGGCTTCCCCTAGGTCGACTCAGCCTCAAATAAATACCTGGTGCGATGTATAGACATCGCCCCTGGGGAGACAAAGTTGCCACTCACCCCCTTGTGTGCCGTGCCGACCTTCAGAGGTGTCCTAACAGTCTGGGACCTTTGTCTTTGTATGCATGTGTGTATTAGTGTGGTTTTACATGTATGTGGTTGAGTGTGTATGTGTGTGGTGCATCGGCCAGTCATCTCAGTCAGTCGACCCGTGGCACCTGGGTCTGCCCCGTGACCTCCTGCCAGCGGGCGTTCACCATTTCACGTGGCCTCACCATTTTCACGTGGCCTCAACGTGCACCTAGCCTGGCACAGGCGCCGTGGTAACGTCACCGCCACTTAGTGGCGAATGTATTTGTGTTGTGTACTGCAGTCGTTGAGTGACGTTTATCTGTACCAGCACTGAGCTTCCCCTACGTTGACTCGGCCATAAATGAGTACATGGTTGGCTGGGTCATGTGGCCCGCAATGTCCAGCCACCGCATTCACAATCAGCTTCTGTTTGGCCGGATAGAGGGGGCAAAACGGGCGCGGAACGGGCTAGAGAAGAGATGGAGTGATATGGTACAGGAGGATGTGGAGCTGAGTGGACTCGCCGATGACCGGTACCAGCGGTGTCAAGATCGGATTATGTGGAGGAGGAAGCTCGTGAAGGACGCTGCTGGGCAATTGGAGGCAGTCGCCCTCTAACAACAACCGAAGGCGGCAGAGCGACGCTCACAACAATGTGCGGAGCGCCAGGCGGATAAAACGCAGCAAGTTGGCACAGTGGGGAGCACAAAGAGAGCGTCTGCCAGTCATCTCAGTCAATACACCCATGGCACCTGGGTCTGTCACGTAACCTCCTGCCAGCAGCGAGCCTTCAACGCTTCACGTGGCCTCAAGGTTCACCTAGCCTGGCACATGTGTACGTTTGTTCGTGTTGGGTGTGGGTGTTTTTAATTATGAGTGTCTGTGTGTAACGGAGTGTGTGCGTGCGAGGAGTAGCAGTGTAGCGGTTAGCGCTAATCTGCACTACGATCCCGGCGACCCGAATTCCATGCTCGCTCACGGCCAACACCAGCGACGATTATTTGAACCGGCCCTGGGCCTCGCCGAGGTCGACTCAGCCTCAACATTAGTACCTGGTGCGGTGCGTAAACATCGTCACGAGGGAGACAAAGGCGGTCGGGCGTGGTGCTGTCCACCCACAGGTGCTACTCGCTAACAGCACTTGCCCCAACAGTCTGTCAAGGCGATACGGCTTAGATGAGAGTTTAATTAAACCCACGCTGCATCTCGACTCCTAATTTACGCCGGGTAAAGCTTAAACCGGTTTGGCGCTTGTGACAAGAGCTTGCGAGGTTTTAGGGCTTGTAACTCTAGCCGAGGTTTTAATCTCAATTATCCCACCCCGCCCCCATGAAATGCAAATCTCTAACACCGCTTGTGAGGAACTCGCGCCCGTGAACTCCCATGGCGGTGTGAGGTCGAAGTCAGCGCTCGGAGTGAACTCTCAATCCTGAACCTCGCAAACAAACAAAAAGGGTAAACGCGCTCCCGAATATCTTTTTTGATGTTGTTGTTGTCTGTGCTTCCGAGAAGAACCAGGGAGTTGTCATTGAGAGCCGCGATTGGCTGGCGCGTCCTGACCGGTGTGTTTACGCCACGGCGCACACACACACACACACACCCACACGCACACACACACACACGCGCACTCACGCTCCCACACACACACACGCGGGTATATATAAGGGCTCCGTGCCCGCAAGCGCCGCAATTAGCGCAGTGAGTGGCTCGGTACGCGAGCGGTTCAACTGAGTGGAGTGGTCGGGGGTTTGTTACCGGAGGATTTCACGCGGGTGGCAGTCTCGGTTCGCGACCGCGCTCGGCTCATTCATTCGTCTCGTTAAACTCGCATCTTGAGCGACAGCGACCCTTGCCGCAAGGCTCCGCTTGCGGTTTCGCGTTACCGCATCGGCCAACGAGTGTGCGACCGTGGGGCGGGCGGGGGGGGGTCCACTTGCGATCCCAGCGCGCTTTAGCGGAACGACTGCGTGAACGCGCCAAACAATGAATCGCGTCGTGTTGCAGAGAGCGGCCGGTCAGCTGCCCCGGGGCTGCCCCTTCGCGCACCAGGGCGGCAGCAGCCGGGCGGCCCAGGTGGTGGTTCCTGGCGCCGTGGAAGCGCCGGCGAGCCTGGCCGGGGAGCCGTGTCCCGCCGCGGAGGGGGCGAGGAGGCTCCGGTCGATGAGCGAGATGCCCAGCCCGCCCAGCCTGCCCGTCGTGGGCAGCCTCTTCGAGGTGTTGCGGAAAGGCGGCATCTCCAAGCAGTACCAAGTGCTGGTGAGAGGCTCTCTGTGTGAATCACGCACACACACACACACCGCTCTCTGTGTGAATCACACACACACACCGCTCTCTGTGTGAATCACACACACACTCACACTGCTCTCTGTGTGAATCACACACACACACACCGCTCTCTGTGTGAATCACACACACACACACCAGCACACACTCACACCGCTCTCTGTGTGAATCACACACACACATACCAACACACACACACACACTGCTCTCTGTGTGAATCACACACACACACTCACACCGCTCTCTGTGTGAATCATACACACACCAACACACCAACACACACTCACACCGCTCTCTGTGTGAATCACACACACACACACCAACACACACTCACACCGCTCTCTGTGTAAATCACACACACACTCACACCGCTCTCTGTGTGAATCACACACACACACCAACACACACTCACACCGCTCTCTGTGTGAATCACACACACCAACACACACTCACACCGCTCTCTGTGTGAATCACACACACACACCAGCACACACTCACACCGCTCTCTGTGTGAATCACACACACACATACCAACACACACACACCGCTCTCTGTGTGAATCACACACACACACTCACACCGCTCTCTGTGTGAATCACACACACACCAACACACCAACACACACTCACACCGCTCTCTGTGTGAATCACACACACACTCACACCGCTCTCTGTGTGAATCACACACACACCAACACACACACACACCGCTCTCTGTGTGAATCACACACCAACACACACTCACACCGCTCTCTGTGTGAATCACACACACAGCAACACACACTCACACCGCTCTCTATGTGAATCACACACACACACACACCAACACTCACCACTCTCTATGAATCACGCACACACACACACACACCAACACACACTCACACCGCTCTCTGTGTGAATCACACACACACACACCAACACACACTCACACCGCTCTCTGTGTGAATCACACACACATACACCAACACACACTCACACCGCTCTCTGTGTGAATCACACACACACACAGCAACACACACTCACACCGCTCTCTGTGTAAATCACACACACACTCACACCGCTCTCTGTGTGAATCACACACACCAACACACACTCACACCGCTCTCTGTGTGAATCACACACACACCCCAGCACACACTCACACCGCTCTCTGTGTGAATCACACACACACATACCAACACACACACACCGCTCTCTGTGTGAATCACACACACACACTCACACCGCTCTCTGTGTGAATCACACACACACCAACACACCAACACACACTCACACCGCTCTCTGTGTGAATCACACACACACACCAACACTGACCACTCTCTATGAATCACGCACACACACACATACACCAACACACACTCACACCGCTCTCTGTGTGAATCACACACACACTCACACCGCTCTCTGTGTGAATCACACACACACACCAACACACACTCACACCGCTCTCTGTATGAATCACGCACACACACACACCAACACACTCACACCGCTTTCTATGAATCACACAAAGACAAAGATCCCCTGTATTGCCTTAACAGACTGTTGGGGCAAGTGGCGTTCGCGAGCACCTATAAAGGCCGGCACGGCACACTAGAGAGTGGGTGGCCAACACCACGCCCGGCTGCCTTTGTCTCCCTAGTGGCGATGTTTACTACACACATCGTGTTGGGTACTCATTTGGGGCTGAGTCCACCTAGGGGAGGCCCAGGACCGGTTCAGATAATCGTCACCGGTGTTGGCCGTGAGAGGGAATCGAACTCGGACCGCCAGGTTTGTAGCGCAGCGTAGCGCTGCCCGCTCCACTCCCGCTCCCCACGCACATCGCTCTCTATGAATCAAACGCGACAAACACACACGCACATAAACCTCTCTCTCTCTCTATGAATCAAACGCGACAAACGCGCACATAAACCTCTCTCTCTCTCTATGAATCGCATCTTGTCTCGTGAATGGGATCCGTGAGCATCCTTGCTTCGCACCTCTCTGCCAACAGCACCACACCCCCCTCCCACCACCGCGCGGGCCCCCCGCCGTGTCCGCGTGATGTTGTTGTGTACGGGGAATGTTGATCTAAGCGACGTGGTCCTCTTCCACGTCGCTTCGGAAAGTCCTCACGAATCCACCCCCACCACCTATCCCTCCACCCCCAACCCCCACTGGCTCCGTGAATGACTTTGCGAATCTCAATCAGCGCTCCCTCCCCGGTTACATTTGACGTGAGGCTCGCGTGACGAGCGCCCGCGGGCACCTCTGATGCAAACAGAACCCCCCCCCATCTCCAAGCATCCGTGGTCCCCGTGGTCCCCGTGGTCCCCGTGGTTTCCGTGGTCCCCGTGGTCCCGGTGAGATCGTGGTCTCCGTGGTCCCCGTGGTCCCCGTGGTCCCCGTGAGATCGTGGTCCCCGTGGTCTCCGTGGTCCCCGTGGTCCCCGTAGTCCCCGTGAGATCGTGGTCCCCGTGGTCCCCGTGGTCTCCGTGGTCCCCGTGGTCTCCGTGGTCCCCGTGGTCCCCGTGGTCCCCGTGGTCTCCGTGGTCCCCGTGGTCTCCGTGGTCCCCGTGGTCCCCGTGAGATCGTGGTCCCCGTGGTCCCCGTGGTCCCCGTGGTTCCCGTGAGATCGTGGTCCCCGTGGTCCCCGTGAGATCGTGGTCCCCGTGGTCCCCGTGGTCTCCGTGGTCCCCGTGAGATCGTGGTCCCCGTGGTCCCCGTGGTCCCCGTGAGATCGTGTTCCCCGCGTCTCCCGCGAGACTCGCGGCAGGAAACCCCTGGAGAGGTTGAGCAGCACGCGTGGGCGAATACCGCACGTGACAACTCACGCCCAGATAAAGTGAAGGGGTCATCGCTGCCACGCGGTCACGAAGGGTCAAGGTCACGGCCAGGCATCTGACCCCGGGCGCGTTTTCTCTCCCATTCGTAAGTCGGCCCCCGAATTCTTCTCAGTGCGAATCTTCCAAGCTCGGCCCACAGGTATACACAGAGTCAACACGGATGTGTTATGGGTATTGATGCATACATAATGAATTCTGGGACAGGGGGAAATCACCATCAGCTTGACCCCTCCCACGGCGCGGCCACTTGTGACGTCATACCCCACGTGACGCCCGCTGCGCGCGGTGTTCATCGCCCGCGTCGCCTCACCGCGTGCGCCGGGGAAAACTCGACGCCAATGGCCTCGGAGGTAGAGACAGCGGCTGGAACTAAGGGGGCGAGAATGGCCTGCACAGAGGCTGCCCGTTCCGCGGGCCTCCGAGAGCGTCGCAAGAGCCCGCGTGGCGGGCCGGGGGGTGCTGCCGCAGCGTCGACGCTGACGGCTGCCGCGTGCTTCACTCGCCCACCCCTCACTCGCCGCAACTCTCACCCCCACCCCACAGACCGAGTACCACCGGCGGCTGGGCAGCGTCTACCGCATGCGCCTCGGCTCGTTCGAGAGCGTCCACGTGGGCGCGCCGCACCTCATCGAGTCGCTGTTCCGCCGCGAGGCCGCGTGTCCGCGCCGCCTTGACATCAAGCCGTGGAAGGCCTACCGCGACTTGCGTGGCGAGGCCTACGGGCTGCTCATCCTGTACGTGAGAGGGGCCGCTTTGGCAGTGCGCCGTGCGCCACGCGCCCTCCTTGGGAGCGATGCTGCTTGTCCCGCTGGTATTGGGGTTAAGGCTTGCGACCGACGAATCTCCCCCCCCCCCCCACCCACTCCGTTCCGTCGACGCGAGTTGGAACGTCGGAATCGGAGGAGGTTCACGACCAGAAGCGTATGTCCCCGTAAAGCCCAGTGAGCTACAATCACTCAGTTTCAAAGACAATGCCATACATTATTATTATTATTGGAGCATGTTCCTTCGCATGTTCACGGCAAGTACCGTGTGTGGTTAATGCAGTACTTTATTTATTTTCAAAAGGCTTATATTTGGTGTTTGAGCATCTTAACACAACGCCTGTTTCATTGCCAGAAAGGGTTCAAACCTATTATTTTTAATAGCATCAAAGCATTCCGCAATTACACATAGTTTTTAATAAATAAATCAACCTCCATCACAGCAATTACGTTGCAAGATAACATTCACAATCCGAACGCTTTCTCTAAATTACGAGAAACTCGTCAGGCACACGCTGCACGCTCCCGATGATGGCTACACAACAGCGGCGCGACTTGCAAGCGTGAGCGGCATGCACAAAGACAAAGCAGCGCTCCCCACAGTGTAGCCGCATCGACCGTTGGGACAAGTGCTATTAGCGAGCCCCTATGAAGGGAGCGGGTGGTGTGCTCTCAAGCGGCATGCACGGCCGCCTTTGTCTTCCCAGTGGCGGTGTAAACACGCAGCAGCAGCAGCACTGACAAGTTGCCAGAGGGGTGCGCCTACTCCTGCACCGCGCACGGACGGGCCACGCGCGGGCTACGCACCCCGACGCCCCACGTGCACCTGAACAATATTGCATCTCGACACCCCAACTATTGCACCCTGTGCCACAAATGCACGTGCTGCTGCGTACCCAACTGGCAAGGAAGGCCGCGCTCCGCGATAAACTTTACACCGTATTTATTATTGTTGTTTCGTGGGGATCCGAGGCTTTATGGTATTGTTTTGAGCGTTTTGTTTACAACTTCACCGCCCCCAGGTACCCCACCCCTGACAAGGAAAGTTTTGCTCTCCGCTGTGGCCCCTTACCCCGATCTCACACACACACACACCTCGCCACACACACACACACACCTCGCCACACACACACACACACCCCTCGCCACACACACATCTCACCACACACACATCTCACCACACACACACCCCTCGCCACACACACACCTCGCCACACACACACACACACCTCGCCACACACACACACCTCGCCACACACACACACCTCGCCACACACACACCTCGCCACACACACACCTCGCCACACACACACACACACCTCGCCACACGCACACCTCGCCACACACACACAGCTCGCCACACACACACAAACACCTCGCCACACACACCCCTCGCCACACACACACAGCTCGCCACACACACCTCGCCACACACACACCTCGCCACACACACACACCTCGCCACACACACACCCCTCGCCACACACACCCCTCGCCACACACACACAGCTCGCCACACACACACACAGCTCGCCAGATACACCTCGCCACACACACCTCGCCACACACACACAGCTCGCCACACACACACACACACCTCGCCATGCACACCTCGCCACACACACACAGCTCGCCAGATACACCTCGCCACACACACCTCGCCACACACACACACCTCGCCATGCACACACCTCGCCAATGCCTCTAGCCACCCCCGCAGTGTTAATTGGTTTCACTCACAGTGAGTTGATCACGTGTGGTGGTGGTGGTGATGGTGGTGTAAAGTTCCACCACCGACGACACAACTCTGCTGACGACGATGATGATGCCCCTGCAGGGACGACAAGCCGTGGCAGAAGATGAGGAGGGCGTTCCAAAAGAAGCTCATGTTGCCAGAAGAGGTGGCTAAATACGATGACAAGATTAACGAGGTGAGGACTCCAATCCCCTTGCCCCCCGCGTGTCCCCTCCCCCCCGCCCCCCATCCCCCGCGTGTCCCCTCCCTCCCCCCCCACCCCCCATCCCCCACCCCCCATCCCCCGCGTGTCCTCTCCCCGCGTCCGTCCTTGCAGCGCCAGCAAGCGCACAGCGCGTCCCACCACCACCAGCACCAATACCAACACCAGTACCACCACCAGCACCACCAACACCACCACCACCAGTACCACCACCAGTACCAGTACCAGCACCACCACCACCAGCACCAGCACCACCACCAGCACCACCACCACCAGCACCAATACCAACACCAGTACCACCACCTGCACCACCAACACCACCGCCACCAGTACCACCATCAGCACCACCACCACCAGCACCACCACCAGCACCAACACCACCACCACCACCAGTACCACCACCAGCACCAGTACCAGCACCAGCAGCACCACCAGCACCAACACCACCACCACCAGTACCACCACCAGCACCAACACCACCACCACCACCAGTACCACCACCACAACCATCAGCACCAGCACCACCAGCACCACCACCAGCACCAACACCAGCACCACCACCACCATGTACCACCACCAGCACCACCACCAGCACCACCACCAGCACCACCACCAGCACCACCACCAGCACCACCACCACCAGCACAACCACCACCAGCACAACCAGCACCACCAGCACAACCACCACCACCAGCACCACCAGCACCACCACCAGCACCAACACCACCACCAGTACCACCACCAGCACCAGTACCACCACCAGCACCACCACCACCAGCACCACCACCACCAGCACCACCACCAGCACCACCACCAGTACCACCACCAGCACCAACACCACCACCACCAGTACCACCACCAGCACCACCAGCACCACCACCAGCACCACCACCAGCACCACCACCAGCACCACCACCACCATGTACCACCACCAGCACCACCACCAGCAACACCACCACCAGCACAACCACCACCAGCACCACCAGCACAACCAGCACCACCAGCACAACCACCACCACCAGCACCACCAGCACCACCAGCACCACCACCAGCACCACCACCAGCACCACCACCAGTACCACCACCACCAGGACCACCAGCACCAGCACCACCTCGCTCCTTCCTAGAGAGTGGCGGTGCCGCACGAGGCGCGTTACGCAACGCGGAGCTCTGAGCCAACTCTTGGTAATGCGCCTCTCCCCTCTCCACGTCCCTCCATACTTTGCCCCCCCCTCCTCCCCCGCCGCCCCCGGACTTTCTCCCCCCCCCGCCCGCCCCCTCCCCAGGTGCTCTCAGATTTCGTGGTTCACTTTGACGCGACCCGCGACGCTCAGGGCGGCATCCGGGACCTGTGCCTGGAGCTGCACAAGTGGTCGTTCGAAAGTAGGAACCCCGCTCAGACTCCACTGCGCAACGCACCACCGACTTGCCAGGGATCCCGGACACCCCCCCACCCACCCACGCCTCCTCCCACTCAGTTCACTTTCAATTCCCAAGTGCCATCACCAGCCAGTGGACCTCCCTCCCTGCCCCCTCAGCGCACGCACACAAAGACGCACGCGCGTTGCCTGGTTCCTGCTGCCCCCCCCCCCCGTGACTTAAAGTGCACATTGAAACAAGACGAGAGAAATAAGAATTAAAGCTTTCGTGACTGCATAAATTATTCATTGTTTTTTTTCGGTAAAGTCACGTATGTAGAAATACCATAAAAATATATTATAATTTTATGGTATTTCTATTACATTATTATATAATTTTATGGTATTTCTACATACGTGACATTACCGAAAAAAAACAATGAGTAAGACAAGAGAAAGACAAATATCCCCCGTACAGCCTTCATAGGCTTTTGGGGCAAGTGCTGTTAGCGAGCACCTATGTATGTATGTATGCCCGGCACGGCACACGAGGGGGTGGGTGGCCAGCACCACGCCCGGTCGCCTTTGTCTCCCTCGTGGCGATGTTTACGCCACCGCATCAGGTACTCATTTGAGGCCGAGTCGACATAGGGGAGGCCCAAGATTGGTTCAGATATTCGGCTGGGCGAGCCCCTTCGGGAGATCCGGCAAGGAGCCCGACTGCTGCTGCTGAATTATTATTTTTATTTACACCAAATTGCCGAGCACAGGCCCAAAGGCACAAAACGTCAAACGGCCAGCAACAGTCAGCACAGTGAGAGTTGTGATAGATCCGAGTAAAACGCGTCCCTTGGATTGAGCAAGGTTATCGTTGTGAGAGCTTGGGAAAGAGAGAGGAGGGTGACGATTGAGAGAAGGGAATTCCAGTGTGGGGCAGCGCGAGGGAAGAGTGGAAAGAGAAGTGACCTGCGGTGTGGTGGGTAGGTGGTTGAGCGATTGATTGAGTGAATGAGTGGATGGGTGAGTGGGTGGATGAGTGAATGAGAGAGTAAGTAGGTGAGTGGGTGAGTGAATGAGTGAGTTAGTGAATGAGTGGGTGAGTGAATGAGTGGGTGAGTGAATGAGTGGGTGAGTGAGTGAGTGGGTGAGTGAATGAGTGGGTGAGTGAATGAGTGTGTGAATGAGTGAGTGGGTGAGCGAATGAGTGGGTGGGTGAGTGAATGAGTGGGTGGTGAGTGAATGAGTGGGTGGGTGAGTGAATGAGTGGGTGGGTGAGTGAGTGGGTGAGTGAATGAGTGGGTGAGTGAATGAGTGGGTGAGTGAATGAGTGGGTGAGTGAATGAGTGGGTGAGTGTGTGCATTGTTGTGCCCTGCAGCGTCGTGGTTCAACTCAGTGCTAGCTCAGTTTGACACGTGGTAGACTTTCGCGACTAATTCTATGAATACAAAGTTGTTGTTTTTGCGGTTATATCGCATACATGTAAACACGTCTTTAAACCGCCAACACCCAACCTGCAGGAAGGTTTGTCACGTACACAAAACGTGGCCAATTAGTTACTACTTCAGCCCACCGGTGTGTAAACAATTTGAGTACGGTGACGTTTGGCTGGCAATTGCATCCAGCAGCATCGGGCGCCAGTGTCCGCTCGACCGTAGCTCCTCAACGCGGGTGCAAGAATCGAGGATCACGGGAACGGCCCCACGCGGCATGGAGCGATAGAAGACCGCCCGTGGTTGTGGCGACCCCCTCGTTGATAGCGTGACCCCCGATCTGTGTCCCGCAGCCATCTCCTACATCCTCTACGGCAAACGTTTCGGCCTCCTGTCCCAGGACATGGGCGAGGAAGGGCAGATCTTCATCACCTCCATCAAGAAGGTGAGCTGCACACAGCGGAAGATGGGGCCGCACATATGATGTTGCTTTGATGCTGTGTGTGATGTTGCTTTGATGCTGTGTGATGTTGCTTTGATGCTGTGTGTGATGTTGCTTTGATGCTGTGTGTGATCTTGCTTTGATGCTGTGCGTGATGTTGCTTTGATGCTGTGTGTGATCTTGCTTTGATGCTGTGTGTGATGTTGCTTTGATGCTGTGTGTGATGTTGCTTTGATGCTGTGTGTGATGTTGCTTTGATGCTGTGTGTGATCTTGCTTTGATGCTGTATGTGATGTTGCTTTGATGCTGTGTGTGATGTTGCTACAATGCTGTGTGTGATGTTGCTACAATGCTGTGTGTGATGTTGCTACAATGCTGTGCGTGATGTTGCTACAATGCTGTGCGTGATGTTGCTTTGATGCTGTGTGTGATGTTGCTACAATGCTGTGTGTGATGCTGCTTTGATGCTGTGTGTAATGTTGCTACAATGCTGTGTGTGATGCTGCTTTGATGCTGTGTGTGATGTTGCTACAATGCTGTGTGTGATGCTGCTTTGATGCTGTGTGTGATGTTGCTACAATGCTGTGCGTGATGTTGCTTTGATGCTGTGTGTGATGTTGCTACAATGCTGTGTGTGATGCTGCTTTGATGCTGTGTGTAATGTTGCTACAATGCTGTGTGTGATGCTGCTTTGATGCTGTGTGTGATGTTGCTACAATGCTGTGTGTGATGTTGCTTTGATGCTGTGTGTGATGTTGCTACAATGCTGTGTGTGATGCTGCTTTGATGCTGTGTGTGATGTTGCTACAATGCTGTGCGTGATGTTGCTTTGATGCTGTGTGTGATGTTGCTACAATGCTGTGTGTGATGCTGCTTTGATGCTGTGTGTGATGTTGCTACAATGCTGTGTGTGATGTTGCTACAATGCTGTGCGTGATGTTGCTACAATGCTGTGTGTGATGTTGTTACAGTGCTGTGGGTGATGCTCCGTGCGCGCTGTTGCTTATATTGTCGATTCGACGCCGTGCGCAACGCCACGTGCGCACCTGTTGCAGATGATGGCCACGTTCGGCACGATGCTCGTCACTCCCGTGGGGCTACACCGCAGCCTCAACACGCGCACGTGGCGCGTCCACACCGAAGCGTGGGACAACATCTTCCGCATCGGTGCGTCGCGCTCCTTCCCACGCCCGCGAGCCGCTCGCTCGGCCGGCGCCGACGACCGCCCCGAGTTCGATTCCCGGCCACAAGCCGCCGACGCCCTCGGCCTCGATATAATTATCCTGGGACCCTCCTGGAGTGGCTCGCGCGGTGTGGAAACATCGCCGCTAGGGAGACAAAGGCGGCCGGGCGTGGTGTTGGCCACCCCCTCGTGTGCCGTGCCGGCCTTCATATGTGTTCTAACAGCACTTGCCCCAACAGTCTGTTAAGTCTATGCGGGGGGATCTTTATATTTGTATGTATCAGTGAGTGTGTATGGGTGTATGCATGTGTCTGTGTGTCTGTGTATGGGTGTATGTATGTGTCTGTGTGTCTGTGTATGGGTGTATGTATGTGTCTGTGTATGGGTGTATGTATGTGTCTGTGTGTCTGTGTATGGGTGTATGTATGTATGTGTCTGTGTGTCTGTGTATGGGTGTATGTATGTGTCTGTGTGTCTGTGTATGGGTGTATGTATGTGTCTGTGTGTGTATGGGTGTATGTATGTATGTATCAGTGAGTGTGTATGGGTGTATGTATGTGTCTGTGTGTGTATGGGTGTATGTATGTATGTGTATGTATGTGTCTGTGTATGGGTGTATGTATGTGTCTGTGTGTATGGGTGTATGTATGTGTCTGTTTCTGTGTATGGGTGTATGTATGTGTCTGTGTGTCTGTGTATGGGTGTATGTATGTGTCTGTGTGTCTGTGTATGGGTGTATGTATGTGTCTGTGTGTCTGTGTATGGGTGTATGTATGTGTCTGTGTGTCTGTGTATGGGTGTATGTATGTGTCTGTGTGTCTGTGTATGGGTGTATGTATGTGTCTGTGTGTCTGTCTATGGGTGTATGTATGTGTCTGTGTGTCTGTCTATGGGTGTATGTATGTGTCTGTGTGTATGTGTATGGGTGTATGTATGTGTCTGTGTGTCTGTGTATAGGTGTATGTATGTGTCTGTGTGTCTGTGTATGGGTGTATGTATGTGTCTGTGTGTCTGTGTATGGGTGTATGTATGTGTCTGTGTGTCTGTGTATGGGTGTATGTATGTGTCTGTGTGTCTGTCTATGGGTGTACGTATGTGTCTGTGTGTCTGTGTATGGGTGTATGTATGTGTCTGTGTGTCTGTCTATGGGTGTACGTATGTGTGTGTGTGTCTGTGTATGGGTGTATGTATGTGTCTGTGTGTCTGTCTATGGGTGTATGTATGTGTCTGTGTGTGTCTGTGTGTGGGTGTATGTATGTGTCTGTGTGTCTGTGTGTGGGTGTATGTATGTGTCTGTGTGTCTGTGTGTGTGCTCGAGCAGCCAAGCAGTGCGTGCTGACGCGGCTGGGCAACGCGCAGTGCCCGGGCCAGGACCTCGTCTCGCAGGTGGCCCGTGGAGGGCTCCTGTCCCCCAAGGAGCTCTACGCCGGCGTTGCCGAGATGCAGATTGGGGGGGTGGAGACGGTGAGAACCCCCCACCCCCTGCCTCTCAACCAACCCCGCCCCTGACCCCCCTCACCCCCACCACTCCCACCTATTTCCTCCTGTGGCTGTGTGAGGGTGCCGCGGTGGCTAGGAGATGTTAACGACCTCGCCTGGTATACAGGGGGGCATGGGTTCGATCCCGACCCTGACGCCTGCTGTACACATGGAGTCTGCGTGGCTCTCTCTCTCCCTGGTCACGTGGGGTTGTCTCCGGGTCGTCCGGTTCCACCCCCCCCCCCCCCCCCCCCACATCTAGAAAGGTGCGTTTAGTATTTTGGGCGCTATTTATTTCCACGTGATAAGCAGCTTCGTCGGCCTATCATTTGTGGTGACCAGGTCGCTTCTTAAAAAGCGCTCCATCGCTCAGTGGGCCTGACCTGTAAAGTTAGGGATGGCTCCGTGGTGGCGTGGCCGCTGGTGCCTCGCACTACGAGCCCGGCGTGCCGAGTGCGATTCCATGGCCGAGTTCGTTCACGGCCAATACCAGTGACGATCATCTGAACCGGCACTGGGCCTGTCTTAGGTCGACTTGGCCTTAAATGAGTACCTGGCGCGGTGTGTTAACATCGCCACTAGGGAGACAAAGACGGCCGGGCGCGATGCTGGGCAACAGCCCCCGTCGCGTGTCGTGCCGGCCTCCGTAGATGCGGCGAGCGAACAGCACTGGCCCACAGCGACCTGCGTGAGCTATCGGCAGGAGGGAGTCTCCCTCTCACGTGTGAGTGCGTCTGTGGCTACGTCTGGGTTTGAAGGAGGTACCTGTTACCTGGCTAAGGAGCCATCACAGAGTCCCGGGTTTCCTCTTGGGTGCCGAAGCCTCAATTCACTCCGACAGTCATCCCTGCTGCAGCACACAGCACAAATTGGGCCCACGTTGGAACCCTACTGCTGCTTCTGACACTTCTGGGGTGGAGCACCCAGTACCCAACCTCACTGCTGCACCCAGCAGATTTCGTGTGAAGCAACAGCAGCAGCAGCAGTCAGGGTGGTGGATGAACCAGCACTCTCTCGCAGTCAGTCGCCTCCTCATCACTCTGCAACCTCTACCATCGTGGTGCCTGATCCCGTGAACTTTACTCGTTCACCCCTCCACCCATGTTGAGGACTCGGTCGACCGGACGCTCGCCGTTTAATCTCAGTCCACACTGTGGCCACCCACCACCACACTGCAGACTACAACAACACTTTCACTCACCCGCTCACGCATGCACGCAGCCACCCGGCACACTCAACCACGCACCCGCTCCCCCACGCCGCAGGTCTGCCCTCACTTCTCTGTCCGCTTCTTCCCTCGCACCCCAAGCCCCCGAGACGCGGCACCGTCACCCTCCGACAGCGCCGATTGCCGCCGGCCGCTCAACGCGGGTGGGGGAGGGGGGGTAGCCTGTGTCCAGCGACCACGTGAAAAGCGAGTCGAGGGGGTGCCACCCTGTGTCGGAGGGGACATTTTCTTATTGTCATCATAATCGAGCGGAGACTTTCCCGCGTGTCTCTCCCCCCCCCAAACCTCCGTCTCTCCGCAGACCGCCGTGACCCTGATGTGGGCCATCTTCCACCTGTCACGCAGCCCGCGTGCCCAGCGGCGGCTGCGTGCCGAGATGGAGGCGCTGCTCCCGCCGGGGAAAGCGCCCACGGCCGTGGAGGTGGCCTCCATGCGTTACCTGCGCGCCTGCCTCAAGGAATCCATGAGGTGTGGGTTCACAGCCATCGCCACCACCACCACCACCATCATCATCATCATACCATTGTCATCACCATACCAGTATCCACATTGTCGCCGTACCGTTTGTCATCGTCATACCATTATCATTATGATCAATTCATCATTATTATACCATTATCATCATGATCGATTCATCATTATCATACCATTATCATCATGATCAATTCATCATCATCATACCATTTCCGTTGTTATCATGATTCTATCACAACATCATACCATACTTACCATGCCATTGTCATCATACTACAATCACTCCATCACCGTTATTGTCATCATACTATTACCATAATCCTCGTATCACATCATCATACGATCATGCCACTATGATCATTATCAACCTCTAATCTTATCTTAGTTATTTGTATAGCACATGAACCAAAGCACTGATCAGAGAATTAGCAATGGTACAGAAAATAGAGTGAGTTGATGAGGAGGATGGGAGTACATGATGATGTGAAAAAACGATGATGATGATGAAAGTGACAATGAGTGGTTATAATGAGTGCATATAATGATGGGGAGAGACGTTATGAGGAGGGACGGTGTTAACGATGGGGAAGGAGAGCTTGGGTCACTATCAGCATCATACCATCCCTGGCATACCATTACACATCATACATCACTCGCGCATCACCGTCACCATACGTTACACATAACACCATCACCATCCGTTACACATCACACTGTCATCATACGTTACACATCACACCGTCATCATACGTTACACATCACACCGTCACACCATCCCCATCGTACGTCGCCGTCACACCATCGCACGTGACACATGCCACCTTCATTATTTTAGAGCATCATCGTCCCACCATCATCACACCACCGTCACCATCACTAACATCGCCTCTGCCGCACCATCACGAACACACATCACTAACATCGTTCTGCCGCATCATCACGAACACACATCACTAACATCGCCTCTGTCACACCATCACGAACACACATCACTAACATCGCCTCTGCCACACCATCACGAACACACATCACTAACATCGTTCTGCCACACCATCACGAACACACATCACTAACATCGTTCTGCCACACCACCACGAACACACCTCACTAACATCGTTCTGCCACACCACCACGAACACACCTCACTAACATCGCCTCTGTCACACCATCACGAACACACATCACTAACATCGCCTCTGCCACACCATCACGAACACACATCACTAACATCGTTCTGCCACACCACCACGAACACACATCACTAACATCGCCTCTGTCACATCATCACGAACACACATCATTGACCATCGCCTCTGCCGCATCATCACGAACACACATCACTAACATCGTTCTGCACACCATCACGAACACACATCACTAACATCGTTCTGCCACACCATCACGAACACACATCACTAACATCGTTCTGCCACACCATCACGAACACACATCACTAACATCGCCTCTGCTGCACCATCACGAACACACATCACTAACATCGCCTCTGCCGCACCATCACGAACACACATCACTAACATCGTTCTGCCACACCACCACGAACACACATCACTAACATCGTTCTGCCACACCATCTTGAACACACCTCACTAACATCGCCTCTGCCACACCATCTTGAACACACATCATTGACCATCGCCTCTGCTCATGCGTGAACTCGTTTCGCCTCCACAAATGAACCCGGGTGACCCCCCCCACCGCTCCCCCACAGAGTAATGCATGCGCCCTCTCGCTGGCACTGTGTGGATATCGGCTCGTCACGAGCCGTCAACACAAGCTCCCCCATTCATCGGGGAACTCGCCGTGACGGGGGAGCCGTGGCCGAGAGGGTGTGCTGTGTGTGTGGTGTGTGTGTGTGATTGATGTGTGTGTGTGATTGGTGTGTGTGGTGTGTGTGATTGATGTGTGTGTGATTGGTGTGTGTGTGGTGTGTGTGTGATTGGTGTGTGTGTGTGTATGGTGTGTGTGGTTGGTGTGTGTGGTTGGTGTGTGTGATTGGTGTGTGTGTGGTTGGTGTGTGTGTGTGGTGTGTGTGGTGTGTGTGTGGTGTGTGTGTGGTGTGTGTGTGATTGGTGTGTGTGTGGTTGGTGTGTGTGTGATTGGTGTGTGTGTGATTGGTGTGTGTGTATGCGATTGGAGTGTGTGGTGTGTGTGGTGTGTGTGATTGGTGTGTGTGGTGTTTGTGGTTGGTGCGTGTGTGCGATTGGTGTTTGTGTGTGTGTGGTGTGTGTGGTGTGTGTGGTGTGTGTGATTGGGGTGTGTGGTGTGTGTGGTGTGTGTGATTGGGGTGTGTGGTGTGTGTGGTGTGTGTGATTGGTGTATGTGGTGTGTGTGGTGTGTGTGTGTGTGGTGTGTGTGTGTGGTGTGATTGGTGTGTGTGGTGTGTGTAGGTGGGGAGCGATCGTGTAGCGGTTAGCGCGCTGCGCTATGAACCTGGCAACACGGGTTCGATTCCCGCTCACGGCCAACACCAATGACGATAATCTTAACCGGTTCCGGGCCTCCCCTACGTCGACTCAGCCTCAAATGAGTACCTGGTGCAGGGGGGGGGGGTCCATGGAGGGGAGCTGGGGGTCGAGGGGGGCACCATGGAGGGGAGCTGGGGGTCGAGGGGGGCTCCATGGAGGGGGGCTGGGGGTCGAGGGGGGGGCATGGTACAGGAATGGCTCAACAGAAAATCGCGACCATTCAACTGGGCAGCGTTGAAGCAAGAACAAAAATCACATCCTGTGATCAATCATAGACACGGGCAAGCACGCTCCCAGCAGCAGCAAGGCTGCAGGCGGGGGCGACAAGCAAGGCTTGCCTCTACCCCGTGGGCAGCCGGGGTAAAGACAAGCGTTGGTGCACATTCAGGTCTCGACCACGTCCCTGCTTCGAGACGTTGTCATTCAAATCGCGACTTGTGAGCTCATGGGACGGGGGGGACGGGGGGGCTAAGTGATGGTTACTCTCCCCGGCGTGCTTGTATGTGACCACGTACACGCAGAGATGTTGTCAGTAGCCGTGTGTGTGTGTACACAAGTTAATATTTGTGTCCGATTGTGCGTCCATGTGCTACGAAGAAGGACAATGTACTAAAACGTCTCCGATTGTAGACAATGTTGCTGCTAAGGCCGTGGTGTTTTTGACGAGGGGAGAGTTTGTTTCTCGTGCTAATTGTGACGAGCGCCCTACACAATGAACCCAGTGACCCGAATTCAATTCCCGTCACGGATGGACGTCAGTGACACCAGATATCTGAACCAGTTTTAGACCTTCCACAAGGTCAACTCGGCCTTAAATGAGTGCATGGTGATGCCTGTTAACATGGCACTGGGCCAACCGATTAGCACGGGTTTGGCTACATACGATGTGAAATAAGTTCAACATACATACACATGGTGTAGCGGTCAACGCGCTGTGCTACCAACCCGGCGGCCCGAGTTCGATTCCTGCTTACGGCCAACACCGGTGACGATTATCTGAACTAGTCCTGGGCCTCTTCCTCTAGGTCGACTCAGCCTCAAATGAGTATCTGGTGCGGTGTGAAAACATCGCCATTAGGGATACAAAGGCGGCCGTGCGTGGTGTTGGCCACCCCCTCGTGTGCCGCGTTGGCCTTCGTGGGTGCTCGCGAACAGTACTTGCCCCGAAAGTCTGTTAAGGCTATACGGGGGATCTTTAGCTTTGTGTGTATTTGTGTGTCCTGAGGAGTGGTCGCATGCATGCCTGGCGTGCTGCGCTATGAACCCAGCGACCCGAGTTCGATTTCCGCTCACGGCCAACTGGAGTGGCGAATATTCAAACCGGTCGTGGGCTTCAAGTTCCTGGTCCAGTGTGTTAAACATCGACAGTGGGGAGTCAAAGGCGTCCAGGCATGCCTCTATCCACACCGCCCGCTCATCCACCTTGCCTGCCTTCACAGACGCTCGCTAATCGCACTTGCCCCAGCAGCCTGTGTGGGCTTCATGGGGGGATCTGTGTATTTGTGTGTGTGCGCTCAACTCAGCACGTGTCTCTGCCCGTGTCTCCTGTGTCCCCTAGACTGAGCCCCACGATCCCCTTCACCAGCCGCACCCTGAGCAGCGAGACGCAGATCGGTGAATACCTCCTCCCCAAAGACGTGAGACTGCGCTGCTGAAACCGACACCGCCGATTTCACCGTGAACGCCGTCGATTCCGAACGTGGGCAGTCGCAGGGGGGCATTCACCTCCGGCACTGACTACAGCGTGTCGCATCAGAGAGGGCCTTTGCCTGATGAGACAATGAATATTAAAACTGCTCCAGAGTTTTGCTTGCATTGAACTAATGCCGTCGAAGTGATGCACGCCCACAACGCCGCCGTGTCGCTGACGGGATGTGTAAAAACAATGCCGATATATCAACGTCGTATGTGGAGGGACGGAACTGTGAAGAAGGCGAACTGTCTGCCGCCAAGTTGGTCAGTGTGGATGCTGGGTAGCGATGAGGATTGGCGATGCCTTCCACCTGTACTTCCTGTGCGACAGCTGTTTGTGATGTTGCCTCGCATGCCTGGGTTGCCTTCCAGGTATTCCAAATGTCTTCGCTCATACCATTGAAGGCAGGAGACAGCTGAAAATAAGTCTTGAGTTACTTAACCTTAACCTTGCAGCTACAGTGTAGCGTATTCCTGCAGTCACAATCAGTGTAACCTTACAATCACAGTGGGTGTAGCACTGCAGTCACAATCAGTGTAACCTTACAATCACAGTGGGTGTAGCACTGCAGTCACAATCAATGTAACCTTACAATCACAGTGGGTGTAGCACTGCAGTCACAATCAATGTAACCTTACAATCACAGTGGGTGTAGCACTGCAGTCACAATCAATGTAACCTTACAATCACAGTGGGTGTAGCACTGTAGTCACAATCAATGTAACCTTACAATCACAGTGGGTGTAGCACTGCAGTCACAATCAGTGTAACCTTACAATCACAGTGGGTGTAGCACTGCAGTCACAATCAATGTAACCTTACAATCACAGTGGGTGTAGCACTGCAGTCACAATCAGTGTAACCTTACAATCACAGTGGGTGTAGCACTGCAGTCACAATCAATGTAACCTTACAATCACAGTGGGTGTAGCACTGCAGTCACAATCAATGTAACCTTACGATCACAGTGGGTGTAGCACTGCAGTCACAATCAATGTAACCTTACAATCACAGTGAATGTAGCACTGCAGCCACAGCCAACGTAGCTCTGCAGCCAGTCAGCGTAGCCCTGCAGCCACAGTAAACGTAGCCCTGCAGCCAGTCAGCGTAGCTCTGCAGCCACAGTCATCATAGCCTTGCAGTCACTGTCAGTGTAACACTGCAGCCACAGTCAGCGTAGCCCTGCAACCACAGTCAGCGTAGCTCTGCAGCCAGTCAGCGTAGCCCTGTAGCCAGTCAACGTAGCCCTGCAGTCACAGTCAGTGTAACACTGCAGCCACAGTCAGTGTAACACTGCAGTCACAGTCAGTGTAACACTGCAACCACAGTCAGTGTAACACTGCAGTCACAGTCAGTGTAACACTGCAGCCACAGTCAGTGTAACACTGCAGTCACAGTCAGTGTAACACTGCAGCCACAGTCAGTGTAACACTACAGCCACAGTCAGTGTAACACTGCAGTCACAGTCAGCGTAGCCCTGCAGCCACAGTCAGTGTAACACTGCAGTCACAGTCAGTGTAACACTGCAGCCACAGTCAGTGTAACACTGCAGCCGCAGTCAGTGTAACACTGCAGCCGCAGTCAGTGTAACACTGCAGCCACAGTCAGTCTAACACTGCAGCCACAGTCAGTGTAACCCTGCAGCCGCAGTCAGTGTAACACTGCAGTTACAGTCAGTGTAACACTGCAGCCACAGTCAGCGTAGCCCTGCAGTCACAGTCAGTGTAGCCCTGCAGCCACAGTCAGTATAACACTGCAGTCACAGTCAGTGTAACACTGCAGCCACAGTCAATGTAACACTGCAGCCACAGTCAGTGTAACACTGCAGCCGCAGTCAGTGTAACACTGCAGCCACAGTCAGTCTAACACTGCAGCCGCAGTCAGTGTAACACTGCAGTCACAGTCAGTGTAACACTACAGCCGCAGTCAGTGTAACACTGCAGCCGCAGTCAGTGTAACACTGCAGCCGCAGTCAGTGTAACCCTGCAGCCGCAGTCAGTGTAACACTGCAGTTACAGTCAGTGTAACACTGCAGCCACAGTCAGTTTACGTAACGGCAACTCCCAAGGTTTGAACCCGATGACCCGGCCCCCATCGCTCGCGACCCCCTCCTCTCTCGCGAGCCAATAGTGGCCCCCACCGCGTTTTCCCCGCAGTCATCATGTTCCACGCGGGGCTCTCATCAGCAACTTTGTTTTCTTCATTGTGCCGCTGCCAATTCCTGCAAGCGACACCGCCTCGGTGATGCCAGCGCGGTGGCGTGGGGGGTGGGGGGGGTTGGGCGAGGGCAATGGGTGCACGGGGCTGGGGACTTATCATCATCATTATTATTATTGAGCAGCGGTGTTTGAAGCGAGGCTGCTGCTGCTGCTGCTGCCGCCGCAATTGCTGAATGAGGTTTTTACGGCCAAGTCGCGCAGCGTCATGCGGCGTGACCTCATCGCCGGGGCCGAGCGTGCGCGATTCAAACCTCTCCGCCGATGGTCGCCTCCTCTCGGATCCGAACCTCGTCCAACCCCCCCCCCCCCCCACGGTGGCCCTGCGTGGTGAGGGCGGCGGGGAGGGGGTGCGTGGCAGGGGACACCGGGGCCCAGGGGCGCCAATTGCGTGGCAGTGTGCCCACGGCCCTATCGGCCCTATTACCACGCCCGCGGCATTTACAGTCTGCCGCGCCTCTACGCCGAACCACGCCGCATCCATGGGCGGCGACACAGACAGAGAGAGACACTGGGATTCGGCCATTGACGGTGGGAGGCACTGGGAGATCATTGAAACGCAGAGAGAGATGCCGTACCAGGAGACATAGATAGACACTGGGATACATCTCTTTTTTTGGAGAAACGGGGGGGGGGGGTCACTGGGAGATACAGAGAGGCTAATGAACGATGCGTCTCACTCCGCAGACGGTGGTGATGGTGAGCAACCACGCGATCGCCTGGAGCGAGGAGTACTTCGCGAACGCCATGAGTTTCCGCCCGGAGCGCTGGCTGGAGGACCCGCCGGGGACCGTGAAGCCCTTCTCGCACATCCCATTCGGCTTCGGGCCTCGCATGTGCATCGGCCGCCGCCTGGCCGAGCTGGAGATCCACCTGGCCCTGGCCACGGTGAGTGCGCCACGATCCCCTGCGAGCCTCCGGTCTCGGGCCGCGCCGCCCTCTCCTCCTTCCCACGTCGTTCCCCCCACATTTGAAGTGAAAGTACGTTCCTCCGTCCCGTCAGCGTGTCGCGTACCGCGTGGCAGTTCAGCGTTGGGCTTCCAGCGAGTGTGGCCGCGACTGTGAGCCGCTCGCCCAACCGCCGAGCCGCCTGGCTGGATGCCGCTGCTGATGAGACATTTGAGTGTCGAAACCAGTCCAGAGTTGTCCGTGTTGAGCCAATTTCTTTTGAAATGATGCGTCTCCCAACGGCCGTGTTGCTGATGGAATATGTGTTTTTTTATGGAAGCAGCACTATGGGAAGGATGCGAATTGTAAGCTTGGTTACTTTATTCCCTCCTGCAGATCGTCCAGACGTACAACATCGTGGCCACGGATGATGGCCCCATCACCGCGCTGCACTCGGGCACCATGGTTCCAGACAGGAAGATCCCGGTGGCGTTCGTGAGGAGGAGGTAACTGCAGGCCACCCGCAGCTTCCACCGCTTCCGCGAACTCGAGTACCCGCAGCGGAGAGCGTCGCTGCGTCGCTCGCTCCGAGCCTCGGGCCTCGTGGAGGCAGCTCAGGGACCCGTCGACGAGGCCCCTCGTGCATCGGGGGGGGGGCCTCCCGCCACAACAAGGGGCCTCCCGCCACACCAAGGGGCCTCCCGCCACACCAAGGGGCCTCCCGCCACACCAAGGGGCCTCCCGCCACACCATGGGGTCTATTGGCACACCAGGGGGCCTATTGGCACACCAAGGGGCCTACCGAGAGACCAGAGGCCTGCCGCCACACCGGGGGGACCCTCCTCCACACCAGAGGGCCTCCTGCCACGGCAGAGGTCTACCGGCACAGCAGGGGGTCTCCCTCCACACCAGGGGGCCCCCATCACATCAGGGGGCCTACCGCCACACCAGGGGGCCCACTGCCACACCAAAGGGCCTCCTCCACATCAAGGGGCCTCCCGCTACGCCAGGAGCCTATCGGCACACCAGGGGGCCTCCCGCCAAGCCAGGCGGCTTCCACCACACCAGCCCCCCCCCCCTCGACACCAGGGGGTTTCAGCCACACCAGGGGTCTACCGCTACACCAGAGGGCTCCGCCACACCAGGGGGCTCTACCACACCAGGGGGCCTACCGGCATACCAGGCAGCTTTCACCACACCAGGGCCCCACCACACCACACCAGGGTGTTTTAGCCACACCAGGGCCCCTCCACACCAGGGGGCCTGCCAACACCCCAGGGGGCTCCACCACACCAGGGGGCCTACCACCACACCAGGGGGCCTTCAAACACACCAGGGCCCCTCCACACCAGGGGGCCTTCTAACACACCAGGGCCCCTCCACACCAGGGGGCCTGCCAACACCCCAGGAGGCTCCACCACACCAGGGGGCCTACCACCACACCAGGGGGCCTTCTAACACACCAGGGCCCCTCCACACCAGCGGGCCTTCCAACACACCAGAGGCCTGCCGGCACACCAGGAGGCCAGATGCTCCCAGCCAGGAGCACCCTGGCGGTTGTTGTGGATTTGCTGTGCGAGGCTGTGCGACGTTGTCAGTGTGTCGGTGTCTCGCAGCGGACCCGGCGCCGTGCCGACGTCTCACGAGCGGCGCGTTCCACGAGAGGCGTCCTGGGCGACGTAACAAAAGCTCGCACGTGCGCGACCCGCGGCTAACCTCATTCAGACGCCGCACAAACCACTTCCCGTGTTGTATTATTGTTGTGGAACAGTTGACGTGGTCATTAATGTTGAAGTCGCCCACTTAATCCAACTGCTGTCGACAGCAGCAGCGACAGCAGCAGGCAGAGCCGTCGTGTTGGGGTTTGTAGGTGGGGCATCACGGTCCTCTCCAGGACATTCATCAAACGTTGTTGTTCGTAAGGACCTCTGAGCGCGCGTTATCTGCACAAAATAGTTTTGGATTAGATTTGGCCGCGGGTCAGATTGCGATAGAAGAGGACGCGAGTGGCACGGACTCCCAGATGCCTCCTCTGCCCTCGGGACCATCAATTCATGACCCTGGGATGGGGGGGGGGGGGCAGGGGGCTCGACTTTCGCGGAGTCTTTTGTTGCCGTGGTTGTCACAACGTCACCACCCCCTCCCTTCCCTCCCCGCCCGCTGCCCCCCACGCCAAGTTGTGAAATTCTCGGTTCGACTCCCTCCTCCCGGGTGCTCTCTGCGGCCCCGCCCGCGCTCGGTGACTCACGGGGGGGGGGGGCGGGTCAAGCAGTTCACCCCGGCCTGGGTGCAGCGTGAAACGAAAACACACGGCCAATGTCCTTGTTGACGGGGAGACCAAAAACCCCGTGGGGACATCTCAAACACCGGCGCGCCCCGTTCGCCCTCCCCGTATCTGTTTGCGAGAGTGGCCCAGAGAGCGAGAGAGCGCCGTGTTTGCGCGGAGCGCGCCCCGTTGATGATAGCGCTCCACTGCTGACCTGTGCCCCCCCCCCCCCCCCCGAGGCCCTCCTGACACTGGGTGATTGTCCCTTCCCCGGTAGCGAGCGGTGGTGGTGGCGGCGGTGGCGTCACGAGAACTCCCCGAACCCGATTGCCCCGAGCGGCCCCTTGCGCGCCGCGCGCGGCTCAATGGGCACGATGAATGTGCGAGCGTGGTGTGTGTGTTAATGTGTTGTGTGTGTGTTAATGTGTTGTGTGTGTGTGTTAATGTGTTGTGTGAGCGCGTGTGTGAATGTGTTGTGTGTGTGTTAATGTGTTGTGTGTGTGTTAATGTGTTGTGTGAGCGCGTGTGTGTGTGTGTTAATGTGTTGTGTGAGCGTGAGCGCGTGTGTGTGTGTGTTAATGTGTTGTGTGTGTGTTAATATGTTGTGTGAGCGTGGTGTGTTAATGTGTTGTGTGAGCGTGAGCGCGCGTGTGTGTGTTAATGTGTTGTGTGTGTTAATGTGTTGTGTGAGCGCGTGTGTGTGTGTGTGTTAATGTGTTGTGTGAGCGTGTATGTATGTGTGTGTGTGATCGTGGTGTGTGTGTTAATGTGTTGCGTGTGAGCGTGGTGTGTGTGTTAATGTGTTGTGTGTGTGTGTGAGCGTGGTGTGTGTTAATGTGTTGTGTGAGCGCGTGTGTGTTAATGTGTTATGTGAGCGTGGTGTGTGTGTTAATGTGTTGTATGAGCGTGGTGTGTGTGTTAATGTGTTGTATGAGCGCGTATGTATGTGTGTGTGTGATCGTGGTGTGTGTGTTAATGTGTTGTGTGTGTGTTAATGTGTTGTGTGAGCACATGTGTGTGTGTTAATGTGTTGTGTGTTATGTGAACGTGTGTGTGTTAATGTGTTGTGTGAGCACGTGTGTGTGTGTTAATGTGTTGTGTGTGTGTTAATGTGTTGTGTGTGTGTTAATGTGTTGTGTGTGTGTTAATGTGTTGTGTGTGTGTTAATGTGTTGTGTGTGTGTTAATGTGTTGTGTGAGCACATGTGTGTGTGTTAATGTGTTGTGTGTTATGTGAACGTGTGTGTGTTAATGTGTTGTGTGAGCACGTGTGTGTGTGTTAATGTGTTGTGTGTGTGTTAATGTGTTGTGTGTGTGTTAATGTGTTGTGTGTGTGTTAATGTGTTGTGTGTGTGTTAATGTGTTGTGTGTGTGTTAATGTGTTGTGTGAGCACATGTGTGTGTGTTAATGTGTTGTGTGTTATGTGAACGTGTGTGTGTGTTAATGTGTTGTGTGAGCACATGTGTGTGTGTTAATGTGTTGTGTGTTATGTGAACGTGTGTGTGTGTTAATGTGTTATGTGAGCGTGGTGTGTGTGTTAATGTGTTGTATGATATGTGAGCGTGGTGTGTGTGTTAATGTGTTGTATGATATTTGAGCGTGGTGTGTGTGTTAATGTGTTGTGTGAGCGCGTGTGTGTGTGAATGTGTTGTGTGTGTGTTAATGTGTTGTGTGTGTGTTAATGTGTTGTGTGTGTGTTAATGTGTTGTGTGAGCGCGTGTGTGTGTGTTAATGTGTTGTGTGAGCGTGAGCGCGTGTGTGTGTGTGTTAATGTGTTGTGTGTGTGTTAATATGTTGTGTGAGCGTGGTGTGTTAATGTGTTGTGTGAGCGTGAGCGCGCGTGTGTGTGTTAATGTGTTGTGTGTGTTAATGTGTTGTGTGAGCGCGTGTGTGTGTGTGTGTGTTAATGTGTTGTGTGAGCGTGTATGTATGTGTGTGTGTGATCGTGGTGTGTGTGTGTTAATGTGTTGCGTGTGAGCGTGGTGTGTGTGTTAATGTGTTGTGTGTGTGTGTGAGCGTGGTGTGTGTATTGACGCGACGTAAATCTAAAACTAGGTGAACAATGTATGTTAGCAAGTAAGGCCCACTGACATGCATAGCTCTTTTCAGAAGCGACCTGGCCACAAATGATAGCCCAACGAAAGTGGCGTATCGCAGGCTGGGTGTGAGTGAGACGTGTGTGTATGTGTATATGTGTGTATATATGTGTGTGTGGCCGCGAGTCAGAGCCATTCCCTGAACACCTTGGGGTGCGACCGGGATGTCCTCTGGCGCCAACATTATTTAACATCTATTTCGACCACGTAGTTCGTGAAGCCTTCAGTAGCTGTACCGGAGGAATTTCCATCTGGTACAGATACAATGGGAGGCTGATCGATACCCGGGTGCGGTCAAGGGATGGCTCCCTATTGGTCAACCACGTTATGTATGCCGATTATTTGGTAATTGCTGCTCATTCAGAGGAGGAGTTGGAGGCGTTGCTGTTGAAACTGGAGTGTGCCACTAAGAGATGGGGCCTCCACCCGCACATCTCCCAATCGGTGATGGGGCAGTTGTGGAGAGAGTGGAGAGTTTCCCATACCTGGGCAGTGTGCTCATGACCGGTTCCGGTTTAACATCAGAGGTCTGACTCCGAATCAGTCGAGCGGCATTATCTGTTCATCGGTTGCGTAACGCTGTGTGGAAGCTACCTGGTCTGTCGCTCCTCACAAAGCTTCAGGTCTTCTCGGCCACAGTCATTCTCTCCCTTCTCTGTGCTTGTGAAACATGGACCCCCTAATGGAACATCTTCGCCGGTTAGAAACATTTAGGCTGGCCTGCCTACGATCAATCCTGGGTTTAACCAGGCTGGATTGTGTGAGGAGCTCACAAATCCTCGAAAGATCTGGACAAAGTCCCATTGGTGAGCTCCTCCGGCAGGCAAGGCTGCGTTGGTTGGGCCATGTAGCCCGCATGCCCAATCACCGCATGCCCAAACAGATTTTGTTCGGCCGGATCAAGGAGGCTAAACGGGCGCGGAACGGGCTAGAGAAGAGATGGAGTGATGTGGTACAGGAGGACGTGGAGCTGAGTGGACTTGCCGATGACTGGTACCAGCGGTGTCAAGATCGTCCTCTGTGGAGGAGGCTCGTGAAGGATGTTACTGGGCAGTTGGAGGCAGTCGCCCTCCAACAACAACGGAGGGCGGAAAAGCGACGCTCACAACAACGAGCGGAGCGCCGGGTGGCTAAAGCACAGCGGGTTGGCACAGTAGGGGGCACAG